TAAATAAATAGTATTTAAATTAAATGTAAATTATAATTAATGTAATAAAATACTAAATTATCTTATAAACTCATTAAATAATAATTATAGCAATGAAATGAATGAAAAATTGATTAACGAAATAGACCAATCATGGATCATTAAAATATGTTTAAGAGTTTGTTAGCTCACTATTGGTTCATTAAATTGTACTATTGTTTAGTAGTTTTTCATGCAACCTGGCATAAGTTTACTTACTTATTATTTAAATATAAATCAAGTATATCAAGTTTGCTTATTTATTTGTACTAGGTAAAGTTAGGTATACAATATGATGTAACACTAACCTGAGTATGTTGAGAAGATTGAATATCACAAGCAATTTGCTGCTGTAATTCGGATACTTCTAAGAGATTTTTCTTTGTAACATAACATGATAATTGTTCCATTATTATTACATGTTTAGCAACTGTACCAGACATTTTCTGGAAGAAACGTATTAAATTTTAAAGCTCAATTGGATAATATTTTTGTAAATCAACTAATTATTTTTCAATACTTTGAACTGTGGATAATTTTCAACAAAAGCTTTCATATCTGATATGGTATCAAGTTTTTGGTGATTTTTTGCTTTTGACTTAAAGTCATCAATTAAAGATTTCATTATCTCGCCAATCTCACCAAAATTTTTATACATATTCTAAAAATATTTGTAAGCTTATTAATAAAATCATTTAAGAGTATTCTTTATTAGTGTTAACATTTACTTGTTTATACAAATCATCTTGTTCAGCACACAATAATACTTTTTTAAAATCTGGTTTTATGTCTTCAATATGACTTAAATCCACTTGATTATTATTTATAGTCAACAACTCATGGACCATAGCTTGGTAAGACCACTGAAAACAGTACCATAATAATTTAACAGTTACCATACAGTTTAATAATTATTATTAGTTTTTTGCATATTCCAGTTATAGTGACTACCATACACGAATMATTTCTGTAAGTTTTAAGTCATTACAGAATAACCAGTGTAATCGTTAAATTTAAATATTTTATAAAACATTCATTTAATTCTGGTCTAATATTAGTAACAAATGTATATCAACACTAATGTGGTCTTAAGTATAATTGAGTTATAATTGTATTAATAAAAATCATACACTATTAAGTTGCAATAACATTAAAATACATAGTTATTTAAATTTATATATTAGGTAGTTAAATTTACCGGCATCAATAGTGGAGTAACTGGATCCTCTCTCCGATCCAAAATTAGTAATTGTGGTTGTATATCACCTTGCTTTAAATTGAAAAGATTTTCTTCTTTTGAAAATATTACCTTAAAATAAAATATTTTGAAGTCCATTATAATACAATAAACAAACAATACAAGGTACTTAGATAAAAATAAGGTTTTTCTTTTATTATCTTTTTAAATTATAATCATCAAACAAATGTTTAAAACACTTATTAAGAGAAACACTGTCGTTTTTAGATTTTTATAAAGAAAACAATATTATATTTAAATTATATTACATTTTACAATAATAMATTTTTTTTTTTATTTGAGATTGGAAAATCTGCAAACACTTTAGAAGGTTATAAATTACAAACTAAGTCCAACCAGCAATGTCTGTTCGCAGATTTAAAATGATAATTATTTTATAGCAGGGTAATAAAAAACTATTCTCCTAAATCAAAATTATTATTGCCTTAGTAATGAATACACTCATTAGGAAAATTGTTTTTGTTTAAAAATTTACTTTGATTTTTTCAGCGAGTTGTTTACTCATTTTTGAAGAAGCTTGGAATCGTATCAATGGATTTTTTTTCAATGATAATAAAACAGAAATAATTCCTTGAGTGCATCGTGTAAGCTGAAGTGGATCCCAGGACAGACCTAATTAGAACAAAAAAGTAGAATTAAAAATAATAACAAAAAAGTAGAATTAAAAATAATAACAAAATTAAGAACAGGGGCAATTTAAATAGAGCTTTAAATTATTGATTACATTGTCCGCAAGATGGAATATTGAGTGAAAAAAGATGAGGAGATATTGCTAAGTAATCGGCATAATATTCTTGCACCTCTCGTACAACTTCTTGGATATCACTTTCCGCAATTGTCTTGATGTCAGTTTTTGAAATTATGTTACTGAAATCTGCAAAAAATATACTAACTCAGCAAATTTGTACATAATTAGTAGATTTAAATATTTTAAATTATAAAAAAAATACAACCAAACACCATATTTTAAGTATAGTCAGTAGGTACAAATTAATTATTCATAAACTTTGAAAAATTGTAGACTAGTGAATATATTTGTTTTGGTACGTTATAAATTATAATACATAGTTATTTTATTTACTTACATATATAGTAATAACCGTATCTAGGATTACGTAACTCTTTGCATAATAAAGATATGTTTTCTCTAGTTGGCCGTAAGAATGTGATACATTTCATGTGATACATACTATCTGAACTACTAGTTGATGTTAGTTGTTCAAATAAATATACTTCTCTCTGGAGTATTTCTGACTGACTAAAAACTGCGCTAACGATACTTGTCTATAAAAAATTACCAAGATTAATACAAAATGTTATTTCAATAGGTAATTTACAAAAATATTTTAATATTAAATTCAAAATAAATGGTAAATATGGCAGCAAATATAAAATAAAACAATAAATATTAATCAATAATTATTAACTATCAGTTAAGAGGACGCCACACCCGCATGTGTTGTCTTCGTCGTACAAGTGCGTAGCATAGCAAATTTTACACTCAGCAGATCCCGTTTATCTCCGTTATTTTAAAATTTAGAGTGAATTGACCTATTATAAAAATTAAAGGCAAGATTATTACCGAGTGCATCTCATAGGCTTTTTATTATATTTTAATTTTAAAGCGAGTAATGAGTATTTTAAAATTGTAAATAATTTTTATATCTAAAAATACTCATAACTCGGCTTAAAATTAAAATATAATAAAAAGCCTATGAGATGCACTCAGTAATAATCTTGCCTTTAATTTTTATAATAGGTCAATTCACTCTAAATTTTAAAATAACGGAGATAAACGTGATCTGCTGAGCGTAAAATTTGCTATGCTATGAACTTGTACGACGGAGACAACACATGCGGGTTTGGCGTCCTCTTAATTTAAATTTATTTGTTTTTCAAAACTTATTAACTTATCGTTATTAATCATTGATTTGACGACAATTACTTCTGTTTCATAATTATTAGCCTTAATATATTATATTTTATGTATATTTTTTTTTATACAATATGCTTACAGTGGTTTTGTCCATAAGTAGTACTTTCATTCCAGGACCACAGTCTTCAGTCATCTTTATTATATATAATTTTACAGCTTGAATTAGGTCCATAGCGATCAGCAATTATTTAGTAACCTAATTGAATTAAATATTTAATAACAAATTTAGGATAATTATTAAATTTTACATGAAAATAAGGCAATATAGAAGAACAGGCTGTACCATATACAACTCGGATGAGATATATGAATATTGAATTCTGATTTTTATTTTTATTTTGTATAAACAAAAAGGAAGATTACAAAAAAAAATGATGTAAATAAAAAACTGATTACTGAGATAGGGATCTGGGATAATATTATTTTTATCTATCTCTGTCTATGATAAGAACCCAGGAGGACCACGATAAGAAAAAAAACAATAATTTCTTTAAAAAAAAAAATTCATAATATAGTAAATTAGAAAGCCAAACAAAACTTTTCTATGACTTTTCTTTGGAGTTATAAATTTATAATCATTCATGATTAACTTAGTTATATCATGTAGTCATTTGAAGTTGGCACGTGAAGCGTGACGTCATAGAATCTATTCTCGTGAGCTTAACTGCTTCAGCCTCCGCCCTCCATTTATTTTAACACGTACCTACCTACAAAATTATTACGTTATAATTAATATATTTCGGATTCATATTTTTGTGTACAAAAATAATTACATACATATCAGACAATATTTATTTTTACATTCTGTTTTTATTGATAAAACTGTTTTTTGTCTTTTTATACTTTATAGGAGTGGATTAGTATTTACTATTTTAGCAATGTTCCGTGTTTGAGTGTACTTGAAAATAAATTATAATTTACAATATTGTAGTTAACTCATCAATATAACATCACCATATAAATTTGATCCGAAAAGTTAGATTTTTGAGGTGACTACTGACTAGGATTCTTTTAATACTAACCATAATGATTTTATTGGCTTATGCTTAAGTAGATCATTGCTTCATAAAAATAATTAGTGTGGTTGACAAAAATACACAATATTACCTACGGATACGCGAGTGTATTTGCTTATTCAGAATTAGACATTTTAAATAAATTACGTGGAAGATATAAATGTATGATAGTTGATAGAAAAGAAAAAACCCGTTGTTTTCGGAATTAATATTGGATGTCGAAAATTCTGATATTCTTCGAAAGTAAATCATTTCAAAAACAATAAATAAAGGAATAATTAAGTTATTATTGTTCAAATATAGTTTGGAAAATAAAACAAAACGATATCTGTGCGACTGTGATGTTCAAACAATTTGTTTTCTGGGAAAATAAATGTACACACCCACACCTTTAGGAAAAGGTAAATAAAATTATTATTTTTCGTTTTCAAATTTAATAAAAGTTTTTAATAGATTATTTACTTAATTTCGGAAATCGAGTTATAATCCCAGCATGCACAATTATATAATCGAAGCAAATAAGAGGTATGCACTATGCAGCATTGATAAAAGTTGGTATAAATGTTTAGAAATTAATTTTTAACTACTTTGATTACCCAAAAAATTACAAAATAATGTGCCATATTTCAAATTATTACTGAAATAGAAACAAATGTGCATCTGCCTATTTGTTTTCTGCTTTTTTTTTTTTAAAGTACACTTTTTTTCGTGTGGTCTTTTTTAGTTGTCAAGCATTTTGTTATTTTACGTTGTCATGTATATATAAACAAACGTCATCGCGATTTATTTTATTTTATTTTTTATTGAAGCGATTATACATTTTTTCAATAATTTTATATAATTTGAGTAATTTGGTTTGAATACATTTTCTGTCATGTGGACTCTCTTTTCGTTGTCCAGCATTTTGTTGTTTTATTGTTGTCAAGCATAAAGAAAAAAATGTAGTCACAAAAATATATTGTAATATATATCCATATTGACAAAACACAAATTTTCAAACACGCGTCCCTCAGCTTAATTTTTTGTGGCTCTCGGCTACCAATATTAACGAAAAAAAACATAAAATAATACAAAAAAATACAAAAAAATACAAAAAAAAAAATAAATAAATATTATAATGCCGTGTCACAACCATAGGCATATAAATATGTATATGTCTATAGTCACAACTATGACTATCTTAGATTCTTAGGGAATTGTTTATTTGGTATACAATATACATTGTTATACTGTCTTATTTTTTCTGATAAACTGTAATATTGAATAAGAATTTTTTTATTGTTAAGCTTTGATATGCGGCCAGCGTACTGCGTAGTAACCTTTTCAATATATTTGGGCATTTGGTCCACTTGGTACTATTTGAGTTTGATATGCCTGCGATATATATGATAATTGATCGATTCAACCCCAGAGTAAAATGGAGACTATATATTATATAGAGGGTGCAATGGCCCCGGCCCCCGGACCAATATCAAACTATATAGTGACCCATTGGTGGGTAGTTCGTTTCCTGTGGGCTGTGATATATGGATTATTTATTGATATGTATTATTATAATTATGTTGGTATCGTAATACCGACCATTTTAGCAAGATGATCATTAACCATTGTAAGGAAATAGAATTTATGGGAATACAGTTGAATAAGAATTTACTTATGATTGAAACATTATTACTAATTATTTTAATCAATAGATATATAATATATAGCTATATGCCTATATAAAACTGTTTTTGATGAAAAATATAGTTATTTATTGATTACACCTTAGCTAAACAAATAATATTTAGGTTGTTTGTATACGAAAGCAAAATAGGTCTTGTACTGTACCTAGTTATTTTTAAGTTATAGCCCATAATGTTATATTGTCATGTCATATATTATATAT